ACCATATAATTTTTGTAGTTTGGTTGTAGATTTTGCAACATTTATTTTTTGTTATGAATACTATGCAATGTCTTATGGATTTGTGTATATCGTTATTATATTAAAGTATGGTACGTAGTTTACGAAATATAGGTTTATTTTAATTTGTATTTACATTTGAATTTTAGTTTATTTAGTATTTGAATTTCATTTTAAGTTTGTTGTTATTCTCTTGTATTTATTTGAGTGTTAAAAATGGAGTAATTAAAAAAAATAGTGATTTCACGTTGCATTTCCTGGAAATTTACACGAAATGCAAGCTTGCATTTCCTGTAAATTTACACGAAATGCAAGCTTGTATTTCGTGTAAATTTACACGAAATGCAAGCTGGTATTTCGTGTAAATTTACACGAAATACATAAAAAACTAAAATACTATGGTTTCGTACATCGCAAAAAAACACTATTTCGTGCTTCTTTGCTACGAAATGCTTCTATCCATTTCGCGTTAGGGAATACGAAAAACTCATCGCACGAAACATGGTTGAAATAGGTATTGAGACAAATGTGGCTTTTTTCTTGAAAATTGCCTAATGATATAAAGTCGCACTGCATACCGGTAAATGTAGATCTATGAACAGCATTTCAGTGTTTAGAATGACCTCCGTCTCACTATCCAATTCTTGCTGCTACACGACATAACATCTTTTGCAGCGCACTGTTTTCCCTTCTTGCTCATCACAATTCACAGGTACACACTACCACCACCACTCCTCCACTATTCTCGATTCTTCCATCTTTCTCGCTGCTTGCTCACACACGCACACACACACACACACCATAGTTGGGGTGTAATGATTTTTTCCAAGACTTGTCCGAATAAATAAAAATCGTTTCTTGATCTCATCTGGGATTTTTTTTTTCTGCTTTTTAAGTTGGAATCTTTGGTGATATTGATGCCCACTTTCTTGAAAGGTAAAGCCCCCTATTTCACCTCTTGAATTAGTTATTACATAATATTTTTTAATTTAATTTAATTTAATTTTGATTTATTTTATTTTTGCCCACTTTCTTGAACCCCACTTGCAATAGTACTTTGGTGCTTTCTTTTCCACTACTGTCATTTCTGCTGAGTTATGTATATGTAATATGTAATATGTGATGTGCTTCACCACAACTTTGTTCTATTGTTTGTTGGTAAATTTTGTTACTGATTTGTGATTTATTTTTAATCTTAAGCAATATTTTTGATGATCTTGATCTTGTCTGTAATGTGACAGTACACTTGTTTAATCATTGTTCAGGTGAGAATTGTAGTTGCCAAGTCTCTGTTCTTTTTTTTTTTTCATTTCTTGGTAAAAGGGTTTTATCAACAGATGTTATAATCACCACTTTTTGCTGTCTATTTTTATTTATTTTTTATTTATTTTTATTTTTATGTGCAGCTCGAATTTCTTGAATTGTTACATACTGTGTATCACAAACAATGGTTTCAAGATCTTATTCCAACTTACTGGATCTCACCTCCGGCAGCGGCTCCCCCACCTTCGGCCGCGAGGGCAAAAAGTTCCCCCGAGTGGCGACGGTCGCCGGAGTATTATCCGAGCTAGAAGACGAAAACCGAAGCAACTTAGGCTCGGAGACACCCTCGTCCATTTCCCAAGACCGTATGATAATAGTCGGCAATCAGCTTCCACTCCGGGCCCACAGAACCGAATCATCCGATGGTAAAAAGCACTGGACCTTCAGTTGGGATGAAGATTCCCTTTTACTACAACTGAAAGACGGCCTCGGTGATGACGTGGATGTAATCTACGTCGGCTGTCTGAAGGAAGAAATCGACCTCGACGAGCAAGAAGAAGTCGCTCAAACCCTCCTCGAAACTTTCAAATGCGTCCCCGCTTTTATCCCACCCGAGCTTTTCAGCAAATTCTACCATGGCTTCTGCAAGCAGCATTTGTGGCCTCTGTTTCACTACATGCTCCCTTTGTCGCCGGATCTTGGCGGCAGATTCGACCGGAGTTTATGGCAGGCTTACGTGTCGGTGAATAAAATATTCGCGGATAAAGTGATGGAGGTAATTACCCCCGACGAAGACTTCGTTTGGATCCACGATTATCACTTAATGGTATTGCCGACTTTTCTTCGAAAAAGATTCAATAGAGTCAAGCTTGGATTTTTTCTTCATAGCCCTTTTCCTTCTTCTGAGATTTATCGGACTTTGCCCGTAAGGATCGAGCTTTTACGTGCGCTTTTGAACGCCGACCTCATCGGATTCCACACGTTCGATTACGCAAGGCATTTCCTTTCTTGTTGTAGTAGAATGTTGGGTGTGTCGTATCAATCCAAACGGGGCTATATTGGGCTCGAGTATTATGGTCGTACAGTCAGCATCAAGATCCTACCCGTCGGGATTCACATGGGTCAAATCTGCTCGGTTTTGGATCTTCAAGAAACCGAGGCGAAGGTGGCTGAATTACGGGACCGGTTCGCGGGTCGAACCGTTTTGCTCGGTGTGGACGATATGGATATCTTCAAAGGCATAAGCTTGAAACTTCTCGCTTTCGAGCAATTATTGCACCAACATCCCGATAAACGGGGCAAAGTCGTTTTGGTCCAAATCGCAAATCCAGCTAGAGGCAGGGGCAAAGACGTCCAGGAAGTTCAGTCGGAAACTTACGCCACTGTAAAAAAAATCAACACCCTCTTCGGAAAACCGGGTTACGAGCCTGTGGTCCTGCTCGACACTTCATTACAGTCTTACGAAAGAATCGCGTACTATGTTATCGCAGAGTGTTGTCTAGTGACAGCTGTCAGAGACGGAATGAATTTAATACCGTACGAGTACATTGTTTGCAGACAAGGAAACGAAAAATTGGACAAAGCTTTGGGTTTGAACCCATCAACACCAAAACATAGCATGTTAGTAGTTTCCGAGTTCATCGGGTGCTCACCTTCACTCAGCGGTGCCATTCGAGTCAACCCTTGGAACATTGACTCAGTCGCAGAAGCAATGGACACTGCTTTAATGGTCTCCGAGCAGGAAAAACAAATGCGGCACGATAAGCACTATAAGTACGTGAGTAGCCATGACGTGGCGTATTGGGCCCACAGCTTTTTGCTGGATCTTGAACGAGCATGCGCCGATCATGTGAGGAGGAGGTGTTGGGGTATCGGGTTCGGGTTAGGGTTTCGTGTTATCGCGTTGGATCCGAGTTTCCGGAAGCTCTCGGTAGAGCACATTGTGTCTGCATACAAAAGGACGAAAAATCGAGCGATTCTATTGGATTATGACGGGACGATGACATCACAGGGCGCGGGCGATATGAGCCCGAACGGTGAAGCTATTGGGATATTGAATAAGCTGTGTAGAGAGACGAAGAATGTCGTTTTCGTTGTGAGTGGGAAGAATAAAGAGACTTTGACAAAGTGGTTTAGCTCGTGCGAGGATTTGGGCATCGGAGCCGAGCATGGATATTTCGTGAGGTGACACAAAATAAAAAAAAATGTTAAAGATTACATTTTTCGCTGTCGTTGGAATTAAATATTATAAACTTTTAATGAGTTTTTCTTTTTTTAAAGGTTGCAACGAAGTGCGGAATGGGAGACGTGTTTTGCTGCGCAAGATTTGTACTGGAAGCAAATAGCGGAGCCTGTAATGCAGTTATATACAGAAACGACGGATGGTTCGTTTATCGAATCGCAAGAGATTGCGCTCGTGTGGAATTACCAGCTGGCGGATCCGGATTTCGGGTCTTGTCAGGCTAAGGAGCTTCTAGATCATCTCGAGAGTGTTCTTGCTAACGAACCTGTCACTGTCAAAAGTGGTCAACACATCGTCGAAGTCAAGCCTCAGGTTAAAAAACGAAAACTTTTAAATCAATATTGATATTCATCTTATTTAAAAAAAAAATATCAACCGCGTATATTTCGTTGACTAGGGAGTGAACAAAGGGCTAGTAGCGCAAAGGCTCGTAGGAATGATTCGACAAAAAGAAGTGCTTCCCGATTTTGTGCTGTGTATAGGCGATGACAGATCAGACGAGGACATGTTTGAGGTTATAACAAGTGCAAAGGAGGACGGTTTACTCTCTCCAGTTGCTGAAGTGTTTGCCTGTACAGTTGGACAGAAACCGAGCAAGGCTAAGTACTACTTGGAGGATATTTCCGAGATTTTAAGGATGTTTCAAGCCCTGGCTGATGTGTCGGACCACTCTGCCAAAACCGTTTCGTTTTCTCCACAACAGGTCGTCATCGATAAAGTATGATATATACATATATAGTTGTGTTTGCGTTCGATTGAACCTATCTAGCATGTTTTTTTTTTTTGTCGGAGTTTCTGGTTTTATTTGCGGTATCTGAACCAAGAATCTGAAACTCTGATCGGTTATTCGGTATGATTTTATTTTAGGTAACTTGTTGTTATGTGATTCGGGATTTGATTAGTGACATCATATTGGAGTAGAAGGGAGCATTTCATATTCATATTATGTACACTTGTGTTTCTTCCTTTGATTTTTTGTTGATTCTTTGAAGACCGGACTATCGATTCGACACAAAAGATAACTTGTAACGGCATTTCGTTTGTTATTAGGGTCCCCTGCCCAATTGGGCTGGTCCGGATCTGAGTCGAACTAGCCGTTAGTCAATGTTGATTTAAAAAAAATCATTTTTTTTTTCATTGTACGGGGCGGCCCTGCGGGTCATGGGGTTTTAGGAAGTGTAATGCGCAACGGGCCCTTCTCCGGGTCTTGGGAAGTCTTTTGGATTTGGTAATGTGTATTATGTTAGGTTAGTTCTTAGCTGATCAGTAGGGCTCACAATCGGGCCATGTGAGCCGAGTTTGGGTTGGCTGAAGCTCGTATATCACCGGACCTCATTTATGTAGGTTCAAACTCCTATTCCATAGCCTCATTAGTATAGGCTCAAGTTGGGTTTATGTATTTTTTCGGGCTTTGGGTTTATATCAGCTTTATATTGAATAAAATATAAAAATTATATACTTACAACTTTGCAGTCGAATTTATTTAAAAAAAAAAAAAAAAAAAAACCCTTCATTGACGGAGAGTAAAATTTAGAATATTCATAAATAGCAAAAAAAGATAAAAAATCACAGTCGCAACATAAGATGAAAACCATAATGTGTTCCTTGAAACAGTTTCAAATGAAGTTGAATGTTGCAAACATTTAATCCCTAAGTAATTATATGAACAAAAATGAATCATAGTCTGAAATGAAAACAGAGTACTTCCTACTTCCTAACTCATTTTGACTATCGCCACAACAAGCACTTAATTCTTTTTTTGCTTTTTTTACATTTTCTTTTTTAAGATAAAATGATTTAATACGACTATAGCATATATGTTGAGCCATATCATTAAAGGGTGGTGGACTGGTGGTGTTTAATGCATGCGGTTTTTAGTTGTTGCAGGCGAAAATATTTATAATTTTGCCGCAAAATATTTTACACATTCTCTTTTCTCTCGAACCTTCTCTCTCTACTCTTTTTTCCACCCCTTCAAACAAACCCCTGGAATCGTCCCGAATCAGCCGAACTCGAAGATTACACACAATTCATCTTTCTCGTCTTGTATATTAGGAAATGGATTTTTTTTTAAAAAAAATTAGCAACTTTGGCGAGTTCAACTAGATCTAGCCAAACTCAATACACTGAGCCGAACTCTCTATTTCGTGTGCTCGAGCGTATGGATTATTCGGACGTTCTTGTTGATATGATTTTGCTATGTGGTTCATCGTGTCAGTTCTTCTTGATGATCAATGAAAAATTGACGGGTTATTTTGCCTCAACTCGAGGGTCAGACAGAGGGATCCTCTTTCATCATCCATTTTTATGCTTGCTGCTTATTATATTTCTAAAGGTCTCGATCCTTTACTGCCATTGTCCGAGTATGTTTTATTCTATTGGTGGTGGTATTCCTATTTTTCATTTGGCATACGCGGATGATGTGATTATTTTTACTACCTGTTATACTTTTGGTCAGAAGAAGCTTAGAGATTGGCTTGATCGGTATTGCCGTATTTCATGTCAGATGATTAGTAGTCCTAAAACTACGTTCATAGTTTATTCTAATTGTTCTCCTTCACACCTTATTATTATTTTTAGGATTATCAGATATTTGAGGCAACACCTTTTGATCACTTACCATTACAAGGGGAGCGATTGTGGATGTTTATTTCAAACTATACTTGACTGAATAAGTAGCATGATTTTTGGATGGGCTCGGACTGCTTTGGCCTTCGGTGGTAGACTGGCTATGATAGTATGACATCATTTTTTTTTTTTTCTCTTTTAGGTTTTACACCTTCATACATTGTGCACAAACCCCATATTTTTCACTATTGACAACACTTCACTTCGCATACACTTACACAATACACACACCTCACGACCCTTGCCTTGCTTGATTTTGTGATTCTTACATGCTGCAAGAAATAATAGCAAGCACATGAATATCACGGTTCGAGCATCCTCTGTTACTGAGTCATTGAGTACACGAGAACATCAAAACATATTACTTTATGCGAAGAGTTAGACTAGCGTTTCTCATGTGGCCGAGTCCTTTGGTCTATTTTATCGTACCAGCCTACCAGCTCCTCCACCTCGCCAAGTTATCTGGCTTCCCCCGAACCCCGATTGGATGAAGATGAACATAGATGGAGCCCGCATTCACCCATATTGCAGCTATTGACGGGATTATTAGAGGGCCCTACACGGAAGTCATCCTTGCATTTCACGAGCATATTTTTCCCCCAAGTAGCATCGCAGTTGAGCTTGCTGCACTTGCTTCAGCGTTGAGATTCTTCATTCAGATACAACTTTAGAGAGTTTGGATCGAAATGGCTATCCGAAACTCCCCTTTCACCTAGGAGTATCGGATCATACGTATCCATCGGGATGACAATTCAGTCGCTGACGCATTAGCCAACTTGGGGTATCAGGCCGAGTTGGCTTGTACCTTTACTGTAGCGGAGCTCCCCAAGACTATTCAACAGATGAATCGAATGGACCAACTTGGATATCCATCATTTCGTTGTCAATCATCTATATAGGTGCCAGGATTTTCACGCATTTTTATTTTGGACAACGTTTATTTTTTGTAGTTTTTCATATTAAGTACGTTCTCGTGTATCGTACGTTGGACAATGATAGGATGGTCATAGTCTTTTTGGGTCTATTTGGAATTATACCTGTCCTGGCCATCTTTAGTGGAACTGTAAGTGACCTCGACTGTAGTGGTGAGTAGAACGGACTCTCTCTATTTTGCCAAGCTTTCTGTGATCACTCTCATTCATCATTAGTTTGGGTTGCCTGTTTTGCTCGTGTTGTTCTATTTTTGATAGGTTTTATTTTTTGACAGCTGTTAATTTTAATCATTTTTTAGGCTGTAGCATATTGTCTGCAACTCTTTATGTACTCATTGATGTTTTATTTTTTATTTATATATAGATAGGTCAGAGGTCCAACTCAACCTCCAACCTCACCGGATATCGTTCTTCTAAAGAAAAAAAATACGATTCAAGCTAAAAGAAATTGAAAACTCGTTTGCCATGAGCTTGAATTCGAACTCGACAAACACAATTCGAGCTAAAAAATGAAAACACGTGTGCCATGAGCTCGAGCTCCAATTGCTTACACTCTTATTTGCTTATATGCAAATCGGAACGCGCGCTCACACACGAAAATAACTAAATAAGGACTACAGTCGATAATTTCACACTTCAAAAATTATCTTTTCTACAAATTAAATACACAATAAGAAAAATAAAATAATAAAAAAATGAAAAAAATAATATATAGATATATTACAACCCTTGCGGCATTGAGCTAGGGTTAACTCATTTCAAATCCGTCCCCAAATTTCTCTCTTCTCCTCGGCCACACTTACCCCTTCTCTAATGGCGAAGAAACCCAAAACTCCTCTGAAAGATGCCAATCCAACCGATGTTTCTAAATCGAACGAGGCTTCGAATTCCTCCACGGTTTTCAAGGCCCTGTTTGGAGAAATTCAGGATCAAAATTCAGCCTCTGATTCTCTCTTCTCCGATAATAATCCGTTCCGTAGAAAACTGCTCGAAACCAAGCTGGCGAATCGAGAATTGGAATTAGCGAATACGGAAAAATCCGCCGCCGCTGATTCAGATTTACCTCAGACGAAGCGGAAGAAGAAAAGAAACAAAGATGAAGTGCAGGTGGAAAGTTCCGATCTTGGGGCTGAATTAGTCGAGGAGAAGAAAAAGAAATTGAAGAGGGCCGATTCGAGAGGAAATAAGATTGGCAATAGTAATTTCGGTATCGAATCGAACGAAGCAGTGGATAAAGCTGTTGGGCATGCTGCGGAAGATATTCAAATTAGTGACGTCAGCGTTGAAAATGAGAAGAAGACGAAGAAGAAGAAGAGGAAGAGAGACGAGGTGGAGTCGGAGTACGAGGCCAGGCGATATGGGGTGGCCGACGAGACAAAGGAAAATAAGGCGGGGAATAGTAGCGTGTTGGGCGAAAAGAGGAAGACGATCGATAATCCGGAGGATACGATGGTGTCGAAGGAGGGTTTCGATGACGAAAGTAAGCTGCTGAGGACTGTGTTTGTTGGGAATTTGCCACTCAAGTTCAAGAAAAAGGAAATAACGAAGGCGTTTGATAAGTTCGGTGAAGTCGAGTCTGTGAGGATTCGCTCGGTTCCACTTATCGATGTGAGTTTGCTCGGAATCTTTTGTTTGTCGAATTGCTGAAGGAAATGCTGATGTTGATAATTTGGTTTTACAGGGAAAGCTACCTAGGAAAGCCGCTGCAATGAAGAATCATATCGACGAAAAAGGAGATAGGTTTGCTTCTCGAAAACAATTTCTCTATTTTTGTTTCGTTGATTTTGGGGATTTGGTAGTTATTATGTGGTAAAGGAGATTGTGTGTGTGTTTATCTACGTATGGCTTAGAAAGGCAACAAGCGAAAATACTCGGAAATGAAAGATAGAAAAAAGACTTGCATCCTCATGAAAAATTTGGTTTGTCGTCTCTTAATAGAATGCATTTTGGTTATTGTATTTGTTCGGGGCCAAGTTCGAGTAAAATAGATTGGAGATTTCTTGTCTAGTTAGCGTGCTCGAATGAGAAGTTCCATCACCGAGCTCGTGTTAATGGTTAATTTTTATTCCTCAACACTTTCTGCAGTTCTATCTGTTTTGGGCCAAAATCTGATAAAAACGAATTGAATGAGGACTTAATTCTTTTTTTACGATCCAAAGTATAATTTGATTGGTTCTTTCGTTTTGCAGTGTTCATGCGTACATTGTTTTCAAAACAGAGGAGGCTGCTCAAGCGTCTTTGGCCAATAATATGGCTGTGGTATGTTTCCGTTTTGACGTTGTATCATCCTCCTTCCTCTTAAGAAAAGAAGTACACTGTCGTATAGTTAGACAGATAAAAATGTAATTGATTTGCAATGTGCATGAATTATTTAGGTTGGTGGAAATCATATCCGTGTTGATAGGGCATGCCCACCTCGCAAGAAACTTAAGGACGAAGCCAGTTCTCTTTTATACGACACTAAGAGGACTGTTTTTATTGGAAATCTCCCATTTGATGTCAAGGTACGATTTTTAATCCGGATTTTTTTTATAATTTTAAATCTTGTGTTTTATTGAACAAATATAATACATATAACCAACCATGTAACATGATTTTCACCTACTTCCAGGATGAAGAAGTTTATAAGCTATTTTGCGGTATGAAAACTCTTGAGACTAGCGTTGAAGCTGTTCGGGTTATCAGAGATCCTGGATTGAACGTAGGGAAAGGCATCGCATACGTGTTGTTCAAAACCGCGGTATGATTAGTAATATAATTGCATCACTGATACGTTTTATTTTCAAGAATCTTTTTATTTTTATTTTTTTATAAATCACGTTAATCATGTGGAGCCTTTTCTGCATGTAAAACTATGAATATTCTCTAGTTTGGCATTTCAATACTGAGACCGTGGATAAACACGGATTTTTTGAATGATGCAACGTGTTTGATGTCACGTTATCCGGTCTAATTTGAATTTTGTCCTGGATCGGAAAACTCACCACAAGATCCAAAGGGGTGGGAGAATGGGATGTGAAATTATTATTTTGCCCTTTAAAATAGTTCCAAAACTGATATAATAGCTGAAAGAATTTCAAGGTTAAATTTGCACGCAAATGATGAGATACCAAATTTTATTGGGTCTCGAAATTGGTGGTTGTATCATCCAACTCCTTAGTATAACTATTGATCTTTCAACTTTATATTTGCATTCTGTTGATCTTTTGCAGCTTTTATCTCGATTAATAAAAGATGCTTTTATTGCATATATGCTACAATTGAGATTTCATGGTTTTTGAACAAAACGATTAACTTGATTGAACTGTGTTTGCAAATTGAAGGAAGCTGCAAACTTGGTATTAAGGAAACGCAACGTGTGGCTTCGGAATCGTGAGCTGAGGCTGAGTCACGCTAAAAAGACCGAAACGCCCTCCAAGAGGAAGGACCCTTCAGAAGCAGAGACTTATAATAACAGTACCTATTCGGCTGATAGTGGTAACAATTATAAAGCCAAGGCAGACCTCTCTTACCAGGGTATGCGTGCAAGTAAATCCGGTGCACAGAAGAAAGTCCACACGAGGATTAATGTAACTCCAAAATCGAGATCTGAACCAGACAGAGAGCAGCAAAATTCGAGGGTGAAGAAAAGGCCAGCTGTCGCTGCTAGAAAAGAGAAAGCCCTAAAGGCTGCTAGTGCTTCGCAATTTGGTGGAACGAATAAGCGTAAGATGGGTAATCGGACACCTGGCAGTGCTTCCGGACAAAAGAAGAAAGCAAGAACATTCAGGTAATTGAGGGAAAAGGGAAATTCTGGATGACAAAAAAAAAAAAAAAAAGAAGAAAAAAACGAAGAAGAGAATTTTGTAGCATCTGAATTTGTTAAATTTAGTTGGATTGGATTACGAATGTATTTTGCTGGTTAAAAAGAAAAGGATTTAATTATCTCGTTTTCTTTTCTGAGAGGTTTATTTTGTTTGAATCATTTATTTGGAGTTCTTGTATTAGTACCTTGTTGGTAAAGTTGCCAATTTTAGGGCCCATTTTGGGACGATGTTAAAGGTGCGTTCTCGTTAGGTACTGTGCATTTTATTTATCCGTTTGTCGAAAGATACAGGCAAAATGATTGGATATGATGGAATTCAAAATGTATCAAGAATGACAGTGAACAGAAGGGGTTTCATTTAGTGTCAACTCTTATTTTACTAGTTTGTTTTCATTAAGATTTTTTATCATTTCTTTTTTCAAATTTCGACCGATTACTTGTTTTTGACAATAAACACATCTTCAATCAATAAAAATTGATTCAATCCCTATATACATACATAAAATGGAATATAAAGAGTGTCGTATTTGCATATTGTAGAAATGTTACTGAACACGTATCTAAATTCTACTACATTCTAATAGTCGAAATATTTTTTTTTCTTCTTCGTTATGAATGTAGCATGGACAAAGAAATGGTGCTATTGCCCTGTGACAATTGGGAAGCACTTCATATGTGATATATGTCCATTGTTCATTTCCTCCAATTCTCGTACAATTATCCTCTCTTCAACCTCTTCTATAATCTTACTGTTGAATGTAGAAAATGTTTTTTTAAAAAAAAGAATTGCAATTACAACAGACGCACCCAAAGGGATTCGAACCCTTAACTTCCCTTAAAAATGAGAGGAACCCTAACAACACATATCGGCTAAGCGTTGGTGCTAATCTTACTTGACTGTGACAGAGGGATACAACACTGCTAGAGAGAGAGCTGATTGGAAGAGGAGAGAGGTGACGCTTTTTTTTACAGTACATTGGAGTTTATGTCACAAGCATCATTATTTTTGTTCTTGTTTCCAATCAAAGTGGGAGTAACAGTCACAATACCTATCAGAAACAGAGTCGCTATAGACTGGAAATCGTACAGATCTCCGACCGACTGCAACTCCCCGAGAGCTATTCCAGCCTACATCAGACCATACAGTTAGATAGATTCTCAAATTCTCTTTACATAAATATATTCAGATCAAGAAAATATTGTGGGTATTTGTTTACGTTGCAGAATGTTTCAGACATTCCAATTGCATATCTTTAACATGCAAATTATACGTTATTAATAATGAATTAAATTTAGCACTCATGTGTTTACTCTAATTGTTAAAAAAACTTCCGATGTTATAAATATTAGCAAAAGACCCCCCTAAGGTGAATTTTAAATGGTGGGTTTTTAGTGGGTAGTTTGCTAAAAATAATTGCATCATCGGGGAGTTCTTTTAACAATTAGAGTAAACATAGGGGTATTTGGCAATAAACTCTTAGTAATATCGTACAATTACAGGAAGAGTAATGTTAGAGAAGACATACCCTGACAGTAACAAAAGCAGCAGGAATGAGGCCAATAAAAGTAGCCAAGAAGAAGGTATGGTAAGGAATATCTACAATCGGTGAAGCGACGTTTATAAACGTATTTGGCAGTGTCGGAGTCACCCTTAGGAAAAGCATGTAGTTCAGAAGGCTTTCACGTCTTTTAGCCACCTATATATATTAAAAAAAAAAAGATATATATATTTATCGATCACATTAAATCCTATGAGAAGATCAAAATAGATACGAGATTATAATGACCTGGGACTGGAAGAAAGTCAATTTGTCAGGCCATAAAGAAAAGACGAGGGGTCGACCAATGATTTTGGATAAGAAGAAACAAGAAGAAGCACCGGCAGTAGCTGTGAATACAACGAGAGCTACGCCTTTGATTACACCGAAAAGCGATCCAGCCAGTAATGACATAAACACGGTTCCTGGTATCATAAACGTCTGCATGAATACGTACACCAGACAGTATCCCACTAGAACCTGTACCGTGTAGTCGCTCGTATAACTCTCCAAATTATCCCTTTAACCCAAAAAAAGAAAAAGAAAAAAATGCAACAGTATTTAAGAATAATATCTTCTCAATATAATTAATTTAAGCATAATAGTAACCAAATAAAATAACAGAGGAACTACGAGATCCGGTACTAATATCGGGAACCGGTTTTGAACTTATTACAAATGTCTATATTTCGTCACTATATACCTTTAAGTCATTGCCCAACATTATTAAATTACATGTTCAAGTTTGGTTTGATGTGTAAACGAATAAATCTCGACGAGCTATTAACAATCAATCTCGAATTGAGTTAGCTCGATTGCATTCTCAGTTCTAAATAACGAAGATCAAGGACTCACCTATGAATTGAAGAAGTACAATTCAAATTCAAAACTTGCCAACTCATTTATCTTAATATACACTCAACTTGAACAATGATTATTCAACAATACTACTTATTCAACCATAGCTGGAATCTAAAAAATAAAAATTAAAATAAAATAGTACCTGAGGATTTGAAGATCCTGAAGAGAACGGGGAAGCTTGAGGAAGCCGTAATCAGATGCGGGCATCGTAAGGTACACCCCAACCAACCCTAACAGAAACCCCAATACGACGCCGCTCGCCACCGCCACTTCCCACGCCGTCAACGGAAACTTACCGGAATTCGCCGTATTGTTGTTGTTCACTCCGCCATCGACCACACTCACTTTCTCGGCGATTCCATCCATTCTCCTCGACGGAAAAATAAAAAATTCAAAAAAATAAAAAATCAACGAAACTAACTTATAGGCTTCGATTCATCTGTATCTGGATCGTCGAAATTATTGATTTCGCCGTCGTGAAAAAGGAATTGAAGAGGCAATATAGATACATGAATCTGTAAATTACGTACAGAGATGTTTTTTTTTTTTTTTTTTTTTTAAGAATGATTGAATTTGGGTATTTTGAAGGATTATTACTAAAGTTAGACAGAGAAGGAGAGGTTGAGAGGATTTCTTCTTCTTCTTCGCTTTAGGGGCACTCCTCTCTCTCTCTTCTCTCTTCTCTCTCCCTCACTTTCTCTCTCTAAGAATTTTCAGCTGAGTGGTATTTATATGACAGAGATTTTTCGAATATTCGTTCACTCCTTCACAAAATCCAGGGTGAATGGCACCCCTCCCCCAATATATTTTCTCAAATCATTGCTAAATTAGTTTCTAACACTTTTTTTTTTCAATAATAAATGAATTCACAACCAATCATACATGTGAATTAGATAAACATACACACTCTTATATAATAACTTGTAAACCATACGAAAGACGTAAATCGCACCAGACTAACCACGTGTGATAAGCTTTACCTAGCAACCGTTCGTATGGGGATTCAATTTTTCTTGTGATGGTTTAGAAATTTAATGGGGGTGAGATAAATGTTGTTTAAGTAATTTTGATAAGGTTGAATTTGGCAAAACTAAAACTACGAAATTTGTAGTTTTTTGAGTTATCTTTTTAATGCAATTTGAATCAACGAAATTGGATAATAGATGAGAAAGATATGCATAAATCAATAAACACTACTCACAATTTTGGTATTTTAAATTATCTAAAATTTCAAATACAACTCATTCATGCATAATTTTATCATTTCGTGTAATGAATTTTGACAAAATTAAACTAGAAAATCTCAAAAAATATTAGTGAAATTAAAACGACACTTATATTTCAAAATTTTGATCCCGTGATTACAATACTACATAAATATTATTCCATTTTTTTAGGTGGTGTTGTCGTTAGGGTGCCCACAACTTAAAAATCATAATATATAGCTACTATTAATAGAGCAAAATTCAAACTTACTCTTTACACATATGAAGAAATTTATTAAATAATTTTTTTCTTCTCTCCTCATAATTACTCATTAATGATAAAAGAAAAAAAAGTTATATTTTAAAACTAAAAACCCACACATTATATGAAATATAAATTTATGATCTAAAACACCCGTATATTCATCACTATTGTCAACTACTTAATTTTTCACACCGCCACTACATATTTATGAGTCATGTTTTTGTGATATATATGAATAAATTTTCAACTCTCTTTTGATATGGCTTCAATTTATTTCAAATCAAGTCAACTTTGTAGATTCATGATAAAATTTGTAGGACCTCAGACAAATTTGTAGGACCTCAGACGCTATCAATTGTCATAAAATTAATTGGTGTCAGAAAATACGCAAATTCTAGTCTTATAATGCATTCAATACACATAAGTGCCCACGACGTTCGATAGTGGGCCCATATCGAGACATCCCACGTGGACAATTGCTGCCAAACTCAAACTAACAAAATTACCAGTGAAATATATAATAAATATATTGATTGAAAATAATTCAAAACATGAGGTCAATGAAAAAAATTACCATGTGATTCACAAGGCCGAATGAAATATAGTATTTTATTGATCATCTTTACTTGTGAAATTGCTAAGCAATAGTTTAGCCATTAAGAAAAAAGTTCACCAAAAGCAACATCAACTAAATATATATTCTTCTCGAAAAAAGAAAAGAAAAAAGAAAAAACCTATTAAATATATATAACGTGGGACAAACACAACTCGACATCCATAAATACTCAACTAATTCTAACCAACTAAAAATATATTAGGCAGCACCTAAATCTAATGCTTCTTGTATTTGTAAGCATTATTATGTGGTTATGTTCTTCTTACATTTCTCCAAACTTAAATAAAAATTAAGTAGATGATAAATTTTATTAAACGTGTAATATTTTAACGAACCACCATCTTTAGACTCAAATGATGCAGTAATATAACTAAATTTATATGAGTTTTTAATTCGATGATGCATTTTGAAGAAACAAATTTCCCTCTTTTACGCGCACGGGTATTTTTATGAGATTCTATATTTATTTTAGTATGATCTCTATATGTTTCTAATTTTCTTAATATGTGCACAATAACATAAAACGACATTTAATTCTATGGAACAGAACGGGTAATAGAATAGAGAGGTAAATATAAAATTGAACCCATGTACTATCACCAGTATCACATATACCGCATAGTACTATAAAATGCGACAAAATAACCCCCGAACTTAACGGTCAACCCTCAAATCTCTAAAATTGTTAGTTTATGTAGCATAGTTAACTCTTTACCCTTACAAGTATATTATATAAATAGACATTTTTTGATTTTATGGAGGTAATGTATTTAAATAAATTTGAGCCCGATTTTATTAAATATTTGCAATTAAGGCATTTTGGACAATACACAGATCATTACAAATTCAATTGTATTACTAGGACACCTGATACGATTTAAGAGGCATACCTCAGAGCAGTGTCACCGGGATCTTCAGGGTAAAAGGTCTCCCAATATTAATCAAGGCTGTAAAAAGCGGTAATTGGGTCGGAGGCGGTCAGGGACCGACTCACGATTAATCGGTGCGGCGGTGAATAATCGATGATAAATCGGAAATAAATCGGTTTCTAAAATTCAATATAATATATTCGTAAATATTATTTATAAATACTTAAAACATAGATAAACAATATTTAAACATAATTATATCTCAATATCATATATATATTCTAATAACATAATAAAAGTTTAATAATAATAAGATCATAATACATAAATATCCTTATAAAATATAAATAAAAAGGTATTTTTTTTGAATTTACATACATTCTTGGCATACATCATTAATTCTTTAATAATAATAACTAATATAAACAAAATAAAGCATAAACTCATATTTTTTTTGTTAAAATCCCAACTTTAATTTTGAATTAGAAAAAAAAAGGGTAAATTACAAACACCCCCTGAGGTATGGTCAAATTACAAAAACCCCCCTCTTGTTTGGATAATTACATCTACCCCTCAACTATGATTTTTTCTTACACCTCCACCCTTATTGTGCCAAATTCAATATAATCATCTAGATTCCGTGGAATGTGCTCTAGTTTGTATTCGTTTTGTGTAAAAATACAGTTTCTGATGTACCACAAACTGATATACACAAGCTAAAAAACACATATTATGATCATCTTACTTCATAATGCAGAGTTTGAATGGTATAAAACGGGTACAAAAGTGATAATATTTTATATAATCTCGAAGATTCCACTAAATTTGAAGAGCTGAGGGGGTGGTTGTAATTATCCAAACAAGAGGGGTGTTTTTGTAATTTGACCATACCTCAGGGGGTGTTTGTAATTTACCCAAAAAAAAACCGATTTTTGCCACCGAAGTTTGACTCGCCTTAAAGGTTTGACCACCTCAAACCACCTCACAGGCAAAAAACCAATTTTTCAAAACTTTATATTAAGATCGTAAAGGTTTTGGACCGCCTCCGCCTCGGCGACCGATTAATCGGCCGGCTCGGCCGATTTTTAGAACACTGATATTAATAGAACAATATAAATATAATAATTAAAGTGGACAAATGCACCATTTGTCCCACTTGTCTCCAACGAGGAGAGTATTGGAAAACAATGAGACACGTCACCCACGAGTGGCACGTGACAACATTTGTAATCATTACCATATGAAGTTTATGGCACATGGCCATTCCGGCGTCATTCGCAATGCGTTTCCAGTATAAGCATGTGAAAACTGATATTCCTTGTAATTTTATACTATTACTAATTAATAATTAATTAATTCAATCTTATTTAATAACAACAAACATGCACACCAGAGCAAAGTTAAATAGAAATTGACAGAAACAAATTTGCAGATGCATGTGAATGTGATGCCCTATTCTGAAACATAATAATATATAACTTAATTTCCATACAATTAATACACGTCACACCATTAACTTGTAACAAGATGATACTACTACAAATTAAATTTCTTTTTTTAATTGATATTATAACGTACAAGCTGTTAGAGCATCTCCAAAGGTAATAGCTAAAATCTGAGTTGGTATATCTATTATAGCTAGTCAATAGTGTTTATACCATGTGTGTTTTACAATCTCATTCCAACCATAGCATGTATATTTTACAATTTTGTATTATTATATTGTTTTTTGAATTATTTTATTGTTATGTATATGTACCGTCAGTATTTTATCATATAAAAAAGGGAAAGAGCTTGAACAGTAAAACTTAGTGGCCATTATTTTAATATTTTCTTGTTTAGCATTTGTGAATACTCACAAGCTATACATAGCGGCTGTAAACAAGAATTTAGCTTGCTAGCTAAAATATACATGTCCCGTTGAAGTGGGTTTTTTGCTTATAAAATGCTATAGCCTTCTTTTTTTAGCTTATAGCAGGTGAAATTGTGAATGATTGGAGATGCCCTTATAGAATAAATAATATATATTAAATACTAAACAAAACAACTGATGTATTAAAATATGTAATTCCGTAGAAAACTTGATTCCACATTTCATTACACTTGAGGGGTCTATTTATACACAAAGATTTACAAGTATTGTCATGCTTATGGTAACTTATCTATTCTAGTGATGACGCGTGTGTATAATAACAATGCGATACTTAGTCCATAAGATATATAATATCTTTGGATATATATTACAATACAAGTATTTTTTAGAATTCAGACCCACAACTACCAAATATAGTAAGAAAAAATATAAATAAGATTGAATTAAATTGATTTTTAGTAAAATAATAAGTTATAATTATATAATATAATATATTAAATAATCGAGTAATAATCTAACGAGGTTTATTGTATTTACTGTTGTTCGAATGATATTTAATTTTTCACTTTTGGATAATGAAAGCCTAAGGATAGAATATCCGCCACCAAGCACAAAAGCCTTGACTATTTGCACCCGGCCCAACCCAATAAAATGTTGACAAATAGGGACGATAGTTTGACCTGCTCCCAAGGATCCCCGTCTCGCTTCGATGTGAAAATATAAATCCCTTTAAGACTATATTTTTTTGTATTTATATTTATATTTAATATAATTTTTACATGAAATTCACTTTATTTTGTTGTTGTAGGCTTGTTTTCACTGATCATACTTGATAGAGGTTTTTGTGCATAAGTCCCCAACCAAGTAGGGTTGTGCATTGGTTGTGTTGATTAAAAACCAGCCATAAGTCCATCCCTTTAATATCTTATATATAAAAAAGAGAAACGTTGGGCAACCCTAAAAAATCACTGATGGTATTTCTTTAATTATTTATTTTT